ATGTACACTAAACACGGGAAATTGCTTTAAAGGTGGTATAATCTCCTATAGATGTAGATGCCACTGGTTCTTCATGTTCTGCAGATGTAGATGCCACCACCACCATCTATTGCGCGGCGGTTGAACTTACGACTCTTGATCCGAACAGGCAACTGGACATACGGACAGTCTTGTTCGTATCTGAACGTTCGGACGTCGAGTGTTCATAGGTATCAGAGTCCCCGTAGTAATAATCTTATATATAAAAGTCTCCGTGCGCTCGCGCTTGCGGGGGATTTGGCTCTCGGACGGTGGTGTTTAACACTGAAATAATTTGCCAGGCGGCACGCCCTAAGCCCCGTGGTGGGTATAGGCTATTCCGTTTTCCCGTCCGTAAACTTTAAAGTAGTTTAATTAACACATTTGTGCCGTTTCTATTATTCATTATTTACTTATTGCACGACATCGACTGTACCAAGTGACGCCAATTGCGTGGGGGGGGGGGGCGGACCCTGCCAAGTCATGCGCGTTCGCTCCAGCTCACGGGAGACATTTTCTTTTACGCGTTTTAAAGTCAACACGTACACACATGACGCTGCGGATATTTCTTCACAGTGTCATGTCCTCTTCGCCCCCCCCCCCCCCCAAAACTATGCGTTCAGTTTATACTACAGACTCCGTAGATAATAATATTTTACTGCTTACTTAGCATTATTCTTGCACGGGCAAGAATAAGTCATTTATTTTGAAACAAGTTCACAGATGTTACAATAATTCTGTTTTTGTGAAGATAACTACTCGGGTTCATTGTTTACCGTTATGAAACGAGTTGACATGTTACAATAATTATGTTTGTGTACACAAAACTCTTTTTGGATTTTTGGGTTGCTCAATTTCCCCTTTTTTGATGCGCTTTTATAACGCTGCCACGGTCTACTGCCAGTCTGTGATTTCTGCTTATTTCTTCAATGCATTTCTATTGTTTTCATCGCTCACGTCACGCTATTTACTCATACGTAGTACTGCGATACTGATAGCTGTGCCATCATCGGGAATTGCTGTGCCCGTCGATGTGTGTGTGTGTGAGTCCATGTGTGTCTTTGAGTCCATATGTGTGTGCGTGTAGAGCCATGCGTATCTTTCACTCCATGTGGGTGTCTTTTTCGAACGGACAACGTCAAAAGTGTTCATGTGTGTGTGTGTGTTAGTCCATGTGTGTGTGTCAGTCGATCTGTGTGCATGTACGTCGATGTGTATGTCAGTCCATATGTGTGTGTTAGTCCACATGTGTGTGTAAGTCTATACATGTGTGTGTCACTCGATGTGTGTGTGTAAGTCAATGCGTCTGTGTGTTAGTCCATATGTGTGTTAATCCATGTCTGTGTATCTAAAGTAGATATGTGTGTCACAGTCCATATGTGTATGTGTGTGTAGGGCTATGTGTGTGTCAGTCTATGTATGTGTCAGTTCATGTGTGTGTGTCTTAGTCCATATGTGTGTGTGTGAGTACATATGTGTGTTTACGTCAATGTGTATTTTAGTCCACGTATTGCTGTGTGCGAGTCGGTGTGTGTGTGTGAGTCGCTGTATGTGTGTACGTCCATATATGTGAGTGCAACTCCATGTGTCTATATCTAAAGTGGATGTCTGTGTGACAGTCGACATGTGTATGTGTGTGTACGGCAATGTGTGTGGCACTCTATGTATGTGTGTGTGTCGCTGTATGTGTGTACGTCGATATGTGTGTGTAACTCCATGTGTGCGTATCTCAAGTACATGTCTATGTATGTGCGAGTCCATATGTGTGTATGTCTGTAAGTCGATGTGTTTGTGTGTCTCAGTCCATGTGCGTGTGTGTTAGTCGCTGTGTGTGCATGCCTCCATGTTAGTCAGTGTAACTTCATTTATTTGCATGTCTGTAGGTCCATGTGTGCATCTTAGTCCATGCGTGTGCTTTATTGACCTGCTCAAGGCCTATGATACCATTAGTACGCCTGGCCTCTGGGTTGCTCTTCGTGCTTTCCGAGTCCCGAACCCACTCATCACCATCCTTAAGGACCTTCATGATTGTTAGCGGCCCCGCGTCTTAACTATGTGGCCGTGAGTCAGAGCAATTCCCTTTACATCTTGGAGTGCAACAGGAATGTCCTCTGGCTCCCACATTGGACCACGTAGTTCGTCGAGCCTTCAATGACTGTACCGGAAGAATTCCCATCTGCTACAGATACAATGGGAGTCTGATCGATGCCCGGGTGCGGTCAAGGGATGGCTCCCTATTGCTCAACCACGTTATGTATGCCGATGATCTGCTAATGGCTGCTCACTCGGAGGAGGAGTTCCAGGTGCTGCTGCTGAACCTGGAGCTTGCCACCAACAGGTGGGGCCTTACCATCAGCCCAACCAAAGCTAAGCACCTGCCTGGCTATTTTGTACCATCGGACACTCCACCCCCACAACTCCCAATTGGTGATGGGCCAGTTGTGGAGACAGTGGAGAGTTTCCCTGGGCAGTGTGCTATTGACCGGCTCCAGTTTAACAGCAGAGGTCTCACTCCGAATCAGTCGAGCTGCAGTATCTTTTCATTGGCTGCGTAACGCTGTGTGGAAGCTACCTGGTCTATCACTCCGTACGAAGCTTCAGGGTGTTCTCGGCCAAGGTCATTCCCTCCCTTCTCTACGCTTGCGAAACTTGGACCCCCCTAATGGAACATCTTCGCCAGTTAGAAACATTTAGGCTGGCCTGCCTACGATCCATCCTGGCTTTAACCAGGCTGCATTGTGTGAGGAGCTCACAAATCCTTGAAAGATGTGGACAAAGTCCCATCGGTGACCATCCGGCAGGCAAGGCTGCGTTGCCTGAGTCATGTAGCCCGCATGGCCAGCCACCACATGCCTAAACAGCTTTTGTTCCGCCGGATCGAGGGGGCTAAACGGGTGCGGCACGGGCTGGAGAAGTCATGGGAGTTATGTGCTACAGGAAGACTTGGAGCTGAGTCCACTTGCGGATGACTGGTACCAGCCGTGTCAAGATCGGCCACTGTGGAGGAGGCTCCTGAAAGACGCTACTGGCCAGTTGGAGGCAGTCACCCTCCAACAACAACGGAGGGCAGAGGAGCGACGCTCACAACAACGAGCGGAGCGCCGGGTGGCTAAAGCACAGAAAGTTGCCACAGTAGGGGCCACAGGTGCTGCATCAGCCAGTCGTCTCAGTCAGTCGACCTGTGCCATCTGGGTTTGCCCCGTGACCTCTTGCCAGCGGGCGTTCGACACTTTACATGGCCTCAAGGTGCACATAGCCTGCCACAAGCGTTGTTGTGACGTCACCGCCACTTAGTGGCGAATGGCGGTTGTTGTTCAGTCTATGTATGTATGTGAGAGTCCATTTGTGCGTGTAACTCTATTTTTGTGTATCAATGGATTTGCGTGTGTAACTACATGTGTCTGCCTTTTTCGCCCGGGCAACGCCGGGTACTCACCGCTAGTATTTTATAATAACGCGCGGGATTTTTTTTATAATAATAAATGAATGCTGCCAAACCTCTGGATCGCGGTTGGTGATGGTGATGTCTTACCAAAGCTTTAATCACATCGCATAATTGTACGACTGCATTCATTATGATTAATTCAAAAGGGCAACATTCATGTCAATATGAAACTTTACACATAACGCAACATCACTAACACTGTTAACGCAGAGCATTCTTATTGACTTGTCTACATTCCAATGTACCGATAACGTGCTATGCACTATGAAAATACCAATTTGCCTATTTCACGATTTGTAACTGTTCTCTATTTCCGCAGAGGAGTGCATGTCTAATGTTGACCCAAAACATGCTTTCAATGCACACATTATGGTAAAATATTTACATTAATTATCACTGCTTTCGAGTGTGGTGCGTTTTTTGTGGGGGAAATGGCCACCGAATATGAAAAACACAACATGTGGCTGGCTCATTGTGCCCAACGAAAATGAAGTGGAAAACGCGTGGCGTGATTCCGCGACGCATGCTAATGGTGACGTCACGGCTCTGTTGTGCTGCAGATTCCAATTAACTGCAAAAGCGACACTTTTGAGCTAATAATAAGAGTGTTGCTCGTAAAAAGAAGTGGGAAACACGGCCTTCTGATTCGTCGAATTTTTTTTACATTTTTAAACCAAACAGTTCTGAATGAAAGTCAGATTCCTTCTTCTGCATTTATAATCAATAACCAAAACCTTTAGCTGCTAAAACCCCAATTAATGCTATTATACTGAATGTGCCTACAATTCACATGTACTGAGTACTTACATTTGTTTTCAACACATTTGTTGAGCACAGGCCCAAAGGCTCAAAAACTACCAAAAGGCCAAGTGGCTAATGGGATGTGTGAAAATAGTACATTTTCATGTGGAGTGACGGATGTGTATTGTATTGGCGTATTGTCTGCCTATCTTACGTTCTCCACGACTCGAATGATGACGATGAGTCGAGAGGCACAGGTTGATAAGCCACGGTGCCACCCACCCTTGTAAGCTGCATTTATTCGCTCACCCATGCTCACTCGTCCCGTGTGGTATGAACCCGACCTCTTCACTCTCTAAGGCCAAATTATAATTAAGAAACCGGTGCAGGCATGCCAATATTAATTGGTGTATACTAACAGCTCCTGCATTCACAGACTCAAAGGCTACACAGCTGGAGATCATTGTTCTGAGCGTATGAGTTTGATCTCGTGTGTAAGGGTGTGTCGAGGGTGTCATGGCAGCAGCGGTGACATGGCAGCGTGATCGCCGCTTGTTGTAGAGGCTTGCTATTTGATTCCTACAGGCCGCGCTGGTTAATACTGGAGGTGTATCAACCACAGATACGTGCCATATGTCTGCTTCACGGTGAGCGTTACATTTTGGTGAAGAGTTGACACTTTATCGATCTGGGATCGAGACTCAAGTCAAACTTAACTGTCTCTGAAGAAGACAACGAAACGGATGAAGATCAACACGGTGCGTTACACACAAACATGACAAGGGGGAAACACAAACATCCCTGGGTGTTTTTTTCTTACCCGGGATTTATTTTGTGTGTACAGGAGATGTTCCCACTGCCTCCGTGTGGAGACTGCGTCGCATCACATTCACCTGAAATCGCAGTCCCAATAGCTACGCACACGTGAACAGCAACGTAACAATCCGCCACTTCCACGTCGACACTGGTGAAAATGAGGCTCTGCTCCTGTGAGTCAGTGGGTCTCTGTGTGAGTCTGTGGATATATGTGAGTCGATGTGTGCCTGTATGAGTCTAGATGTCTCTATGCGTGTCTAGAGGTCTTTATGTGAGCCTAGAGGTATATATGTGAGTCTAGAGGTCTCTATATGAGTCTTATATGAGTGTAGAGGTCTTTACGTGAGTCTAGAGGTCTCTATATGAGTCTAGATGTCTCTACGTGAGCCTAGAGGTCTTGATATTATGAGTGTAGAGGTCTTTATGTGAGCCTAAGGCCAGATGGTGAGATATTGTGAGGACAGATTGTGGAGGTCGCTTGTCAACTTTCAGGAGCTGCGGAGGGGAGACAGCGTTGGCGAGGAGGTGTCCTGGTGCAGCATCAACAGCTTTGGCCACGATGACGCCTTCGTCTTCATCGTTGGTCTCGTGAGGAAGAGACGGAGGCGGCTGAGTGGGGTTTACCCAGCCATCCACAGGAGAATGTTGAAGAGGAACGTGGTCAGAGCGAGTGGCAGAGACGCTCCGCAGTAGAGACAGAGCAGCACGCCGAGAGAGACTCCGCAGAGCACGCTGCGCTTGTCTCGGATGCACGCCTTGATGAATGCGCAAAACTGCAATGAGACAAAGACAAAAAGACAAAGACCCCCGTATAGCCTTAACAGACTGTTGGGGCAAGTGCTGTTAGCGAGTAGAACCTATGAAGGCCGGAACGGCACACGAGGGGGTGTGTGGCCAGAACCATGCCCGGTCGCCTTTGTCTCCCCAATAGCGACGTTTACACACCACGCCAGGTACTCATTTGAGGCTGAGTCGACCGAGTGGAGACCCAGGACTGGTTCAGATATTCGTCTTCCTTATTGGTCGTTAGCGGGAATCGAAGACGGGTGGCCTTGTTCTATTAGCACGGTTGGCTACATACTGTGCGAAAGAAGCTCAAAATACATAGATACATACTTGGCGTAGTTCGCTGCACCACCGTTTAAACCTTTTCAGCTATCATTCGTTGAGGGGACAGAAATGTGGCTCTGATCTTGGCGTCCCGTTATTCCTTCATTATATATGTCCTTTCCATACAAGGAGGCCTGATACACTTGTGAAAGGTGCCGAATATGGTTACATTATCATTATTATTAAATCCAGAACATGTACTTTCCATAGACCGAGCGTGATGTTCATTGCATCCATGCGAATTGTTCCAGAGTTAAATGTTTGCATACTTGGCAGTAAGCGTTTGCTATGCATGTGGTCATCGACACCTTAGACACCCTTGCAATCGAGATTTTTCATCTCCAAAGGGCTTTTATAGATGAAACACGTTACACATGAACCTATAAACACCGGCCAGGTGGCTCGGTGACAGAGTGAGCGGTTCCTAATCAGCAGCTTGTGAGTTCAAATCCTGGTTGAGAGGTGGGGGTTCGGGGGAGCGGGGTTGACTCATCCCATCATCAAAATGTGTACCACTATGTGAGGAAGTCTAAGGTGGAGTGACTCGCCCCCCCATCATCCCAGGCAGGTGGAATTCCCACGAATTGTTCAGGGCTGTAAACGGATGCGCACTAATGCATCTCATTCAATCAGAACAGCATTGTAAATACATTTGTTCGAGTCAACTTTGTCACTGGAAATGTAATTAATGGAGCATTGCGTTATCTTTGTTTTATTTATTCTGTAACACTGTTGTTTTTTGCTCGGATCTCTGGTTTTTTTTTGCTGTGATTTTTATTTTCTTCATTCTTGCATTTCGTTTTTAGTAACGTTATGGCACTTGCCACTTTGGTGAACCCTGGTGACTCTTGTGATGAAAACTCATCCTGCTCTCTCTCAAGTTCTCACCTCGATAAAACAAAAAATCTTGGAGCTTGACAAACGCCGCACGCAGTTTGTGTTTGTATGAATGACGTCACAGGAGCGAAAGTGCGTGCGCGTGCCCTTGTGCATGCTCGCGTGTGTGCCCGCGTGCGTGCCAGCACCTGCTCGGTCTGGTCGCTCCACGCCGGTCCGTAGCGGCAATGCGTGGCAAAGTGCTCGCAGTTGTTCCACAACAGCGAATAGACGCAATCGCCGCGAAAGTTCTCGGCTCGACTTGCGACCTCCTCTGCGGGCAAAGGGCGGCTGCGCTCCTTCTCGAGCACGACTCGATCGCCACCGCCCCCGCTCCTCCCGCCATTCCCCGCGCGCGTCTCCGCGCAGTCGGTGGCGTTCACCAGCACGGTCGGTGCTCCGTACACGAAGTCGTCGTAAGCGTCGATGCGGACCGTGCCGTTACGGGCCATGGAGCCCAGCACGAGGCGCGTGTTGGTCACCACGCTCCGGACGCGCCGCGCATCGCTCGTCAGCAGCGGCAGCACGTCGGGCAAGAAGTGCGCGACCCTCTGCTCGCCCAGGTAGATGCCCACGTGCGTGAAGAGCGTGCGTGGCACCTGCAAGAGGTCCCCGCGCCGGTGCGCGCAGTGGCTGCGCTCTGCCACCGCCGTGGCGTTTTCGCGCGGAATAACGTTTCGGGACGAGACCTGCCTCGGGCGGCTCGCAGCACCCCGCGTGGAGTGCGAGTCCCCTCCCGGCGACTCGGCTCCTTCATAATTGCGGGACGCGCCGCCCTGCACAACGCTGCTCCTTTGCATGCCGACTTTGTGCGCCTCTCGCCAGTGATGAATGGGAGTTTTGCTCGTGAATAGCCGCGTTTTATTCTCACGTAACAAGTGAATCAAAGCAGCGGATTGGGTGAGAGATTAGGGGAGAGGGTGTGTTGCGCAAGACACTCGGGGGTGGGCGACGAGGTTGAGGATTGAGCTGCGAACGCCGCTGTGCTCCCGCTGCTTGTTGGCGAAGCGGGAGCCGGATTTGGTGCACAACGTTACGGGATATTCGGATGTTTTAACCGTAGCAAAGGTGATATAAGATTGTTTATCTTCCCACATTGTGGTACTTTAGCACCAGAATTATGTGCAAATGAGGTCGAATATCAATTGCCGATACAGCTGACTCGATTCATTCTGAACTGAAACAAAATCCGCCGTCAAACACGCCATCCATGGTCACCCATGGGACCTAAAAACTTTACCACACGTGTGTTGAGGATATTTTGCCTTTCACATTCTCCCACGAGCAGAATTACGACCACTGCTCCATCATCGTTCCTCGGGCCAGCTTACATTCTGAAATATAATTGCCACTTAACACAACTCACATGCCGCACTAATTCCATCGCCTTTTCCATTTGAATGCCCGAATTGTCATACAACCTTAAGGCCCCGCGTATGGAGTGCACACTCGTGATGCCGTTGTAAAGTCGCAAAGACACCGTTGCATCTGTGTTCATGTGGCATGCATTGAGTCGTGCCGAGATCTGGTACCGTTATTGTGTTGAACTTTATTTAAAATATTTAACTATTTTTATTTGATCAGGTAAGGCTCACTGAGCTATGGTAGCTCTTTTTCAGAAGCGATCTGGCCACAATTGATAGCTCAACGAAAGTGGTTTATCAAGTGGAAATGTACAGCAGGCAAATACTCTAAACGCATGTTTTCATATGTGGAGGGAAAAACCGGAGGACCCGGAGAACAACCCACGCGGCCACGGGGAAAGAGACAGAGACATGCAAACTCCAAATATACAGCAGGCGTCAGGATTTGGATCAAACCCACGAACACCTGCATACCAGGCGAGGTAGCTAACATCTCGCCACCGTGGCGCCCATGACCGCAAACAGCATAGTTTTGATATATAGACATAGGCCGACCGGGAAATATGTCTGGGTTTGGAGCGCAGTGGACGAGGAGGCAACCCGGGCTGTGGGGGGCTGCAACCTCCCTCTGTGCACACGCGAAGACCTCTCACGAGGGGCCAACACTGGCGTGAAACCAGCAACAACTTGAATCGTGTTATCCTATGTAAAACGCTTAAATCAAATGAACACAGGAGACGTTTACTCACGTGATTACTTGAAGTGGGTACTGTGAAAGATCTCGGTGCTGTGGTACGATAACACACGATTCGGTAATATAATCACGTCAGCTTAGGCAGTTACAAAACGTACTTTTGGAATTTCTCACCGTGTATTTAAAGCCACGAAAATTCCTCAATACGGTGGATTTACACGCTTAACCTAAGCTTGTGCAGGGGCTCAGGTCCACAGGAATGCTGGACTTGGGCAAAAAGTGCTCCGCCTTAATTGGGCTTTTTTTCTAGTCTGCGCGATGAGACATCCACCACAACTCGCATTTCAAACTCCATCGGGAGACAGATGCGGCATTCAGAGCTTCATTATTTTACTTTCCAAAGAGTCCTCAATTCCATCGATACTTCAATTGTAGTGTGCACAGTTTTACTCAGGGACTGTGTGTTGCGTTGATGTGGTCTGGGACTGTTGTTGCTGTTGTTTTGCTGCTTTTCCCAAGCTTGTGAATTAATGTACTTAAGCAATTTAAACTTTTTTTTAATTGTTTAAGGGGCGCCACGCTGGTGAGATGTTAACTACTTCGCCGAGTATACAAGTGGTCGTGGGTTCGATCCCGATTCTGACCGTGACGCCTATTTATTTGGAGTTTGCATTTTCCTCCGTGGTCGCGTGGATTTTTTTCTCCGGGTCCTCGTGTTTTTCCCTCCAAATTTAGAAACGTGCGTTTAGAGTGTTTGCCTGCTATAAATGTCCACAGGATAAGCTATCACTTGTCACCAGGCAGCTTCTGAAAAAGAGCTATATAGCTCAGTGGGCCTTACCTGGTGAAATACAAATAGTTTAAATTATTTTCACTGATTTGCTTACATTTCCTACACTCTCCACTTCTATCGTGTTTTTGTATTGTTTGTAGTTGTAAGTTTCTGACCGCCCCTATTGGAAATCTGTGAAAAAGCGCTTCACACCTCATCGGATTTCTGCAGGGAAAATAATTAGTCTGATTCTGAAGGCGAATGGCTGAAGGATAGCGTTCTTATAGCATCAGGGCAGCCAAAATTGCCGTTGCATCTTAAACTTCATAACACATAGGTATTCACAACCAATATAATTCTTAGGATTGTTTTAGTTAGGCGACAATGATCTGGCCAAATGTCTGTCGTCAAATCCTCCACCACTGAACATAGCCAAAGCATTTTAATTGTCACATGTATTATTTAAATACGTGTGGTTTGGTGACGAACGTTTGTAAAGATCATAACGTGACTTAACCCATGAATCAGTGCTGCCTCTTATTAAACCTCGTTGGAGAAGTGACACATTAGATTCAACTCATTATTCTGTTGTCAACCACTCTTGCCTGCCGAAGGTGGGAAACCCCTGCGGAGCCGCGTCAAATGTGACACAGACAGCGATTCTGATGACGTTACGAAGCTCGCCCCCACCCCAACTGTTTCCATGCGCTCTGAACAGTCGAGTTCTGAACTGGACTGTGCTCTGCGTGGCGGCGTGCTCAGTATTGGGTCGCCTGTCGGCGTCTCGCGGTGACCGCTACGCACCGACCAGAAGAAACCCACTTCTGATGATGATGAATGAACGATTCTGTCTCATCAGCAGTCACGCACGCGCTCACAACAATGATGGCGAACCGTCACGTGCTTATAGCAATCAGATGTTTGTTGCAACAGATGACACTTGCTAGACATCGGTTCTAGCTCGATGCCAAACTATATCATTAAGATTACATGGGTGGTTGAGAACTTGGTGGGAGTGGTGGTGAGAAGAGGTACTTTAGGTGAAAGCCTTTAGGCAAGTTCCAACTTCATACCAACTCAATAACTCATTCATCCTGAGTAACGGAGTCTTCATGCTTCTGGCAGTTTTCCACTTCCCCTCCCCCCACTACTAAAAACTGGGCCCTTCTTGACGTGCCACTGCCTTTCATTTAGGCTCATTCATCAATCAAGCCACTCCAGTATTATTCTCTCCTCCCAGCTTCCTTTACATTGAACACAGTGCTTTGTTTGCAGGGTTTGGTTGAGGATTCACCAGTGAATGTTTGCTCTCGCATTCTTATAAAGTTAGGATGCACAAGTAATATATACACTCATAATTCATAGCTTATGATACGATAATGAAACGTGACATTAATGAAGCATCTTTTTAGGGGTTTTAGCAGCATCTACATTTTTTTCCAAATTTAAATATTGCTTAAGTTTACTCGCATTAAGTGCGTGGGACAGAGGTCAAAGTGCTGCCGTGTTCCCTTCTAGACGCCTACTTCTGTATTAAAACTAGGTACAGCCCACTGAGCTATATCGCGCTTTTTCAGAAGCGACCTGATCACAAGTGATAGCTCAACGAAGTAGCTTGTCATGATGAAATGTATAGCAGTGAAATACTCTAAACGGACGTTTCTAAATGTGGAAGGGAAAACCGGAGTACCCTGAGAAAATCCACGCGACCGACGGAGAGACACGCAAACTCCCAAATACACACGCAGGGTCGGGATCGAACCCATGACCTCCTGTATACCAGGCGAGGTAGTTAACATTGCACAACCGTAGGGCCCCAATTGCCACGAAATACCCAGCATCCATCTCAGACACCCGAGCTCAAATTCCAACTTATTTTCGAGCTGCTCCGTTAGGGTCTAGCTCTGTGTTCCTCAACGTAGCACGGATTTCGTGCTGTGGACTCTAATACCCGTATCTTTACGCTTGGACTCATCTTTCTTCCAAAGTGGTTTCCAGAGCCCATGAAAAACATGCCCTGCTAAAGCAATGCACATCTTTACCGTCTCACATTATAGACATGACTGTCTCTACGTACACAGTCCTCGACCAGCTGCTCTACTCCTACCATGACTTGCAATCCTACTGCAGTCGCCTCGTTTCTGCCGCAAACAACTTTCTTGGAAAAGCGTGTAACATCAGACCACAATGCCTGACCTGTGCTGAAGATCGCTAATACCTGCATTGACTCCTGGGGTTTCGACTGTGCCAACCCCATTCACAGTTATGTTGAATACATATTCAAGAACATTAAAAGTAGGAGCCAAAATACAACTCTCATGGACCGTCATGGCAACATCGCATTCTTAATGTGTACATTTTTATTGGTAAACAGGCCTGAATCTCACCACACACATTTTCAGGCAGCCATAATTATTTTTCTTTGGATGTCATAACCCAACAGTTCACACAGACCCTCCTGCTGTCAAGTCATAGGCTTGCTCAGTCTACAAGGCATATCCAAACATCCTCCCCATACTCCCAACTGTTCTCTAACTTGAACGATCTGATCACTACAGCCCCTCCCTGATCAAAATATACAAAGATTTTCCCTCAAGTATCTTTAAGATTATTTATTCCATTAATCAACATTCTAGTAACACGTAGGCTTTCGCGACCACGTTTTATTTATATGACAACCCGTATATTTACGTGATCCAACCCCCAAAAAAACCTTTATGGATATTGGTCATGAAAGCCTACTACGTGTTATATTGTAAAGCTATATACTTGTATTGTATGCAACACCCATGGTCAAGGCCACCTCAATCTTTCACGTTTGCTTTAAATCGAGGGGCCCGAGTACAGAAAATTATCGTAAAGTCCGGCAGGCAGCGATTGTCGCAATATCTAATGTCGTACAGCAAGACAAAATGTAAAACATAAAGTGAATACGGGCGCATGAGAGATCGCAACGCTGTGGGCATGGCAGCAGTTGCGAGGGACGATGTCTTTACAATCG